GAAACGACAGAAAAATAACATTACCGGGAAAATTAATAGCTAAATACAATTTCAGGCAGAGGGAAAGCTTTCGGCGGGAGGAGCAGGACTCGATCCCGAGTCTGACCGTGCCGGCCCGGGGGATGCTTTCGGCGAAGGCCAGGAGCAGCGTGGTGGCCGCTGCAATTACTTTTGTCTTCGCTAACGGGCTCCCGGGTTGGAGACCTCAAACAGCGGCTAATGAGAATTTCCATCCTCGACGCGGATCGATGTCGAGCTAATCTTTGTTGGTTTTGTGCTTGCGTCGGGTACCGAGGAGAAAGGGAATTAAGCTCCGCGCGGAGGGAGTGTTGGGGGAGATGCCGAGGCAGCGGCGGGCTGGGGGGTAAAGTCCTTGGAAGTCGCTGTTGAAAGTTTGGGGTTTGGGGTTTTTTTTGCGCCCCGCTGCCTTTTTAGCTCGGTTTTGCATTGCACAAGGCCTTGGTGTTCTGGGCACGTGCCCCCGGACGCCTGTCTGCCCACCAATTTTTCGACATAACGACTTATCTCACCCAAATTTGTCAGAAATGGAGTGAAAACGTGTTTGTGCTTGGAGCGCCGCGGGGGGTGGGCTTTTGGGGGGGGGTGTGTGCCATGGGCTCGGGAATACCGCGGTCACCTGCCTTCATTCCAGATTTTTTCCTTTTTTTTTTTTTTGAAAGTAAGTTTTTTGAAGGAATAAAGCAGCCCCCGGCCCAGCTTTGGAGCAGACCTGTGACGCTGGGGATGGCGGTTGTGCCTGGATGTGAGTCGGAGCATCGAAAAGCGCCGGCTTTGTAGCATCGAAAAGAGCTGGCTTTGTAAAGCTCTTCCTGAAGAACAAAGGCGGGGCGGCATTTTTGCAGCCTCCGAAGAAGACAGCGGAGAGAAGAGGCTGGAAGGTGGGTTCTAGGGCTCCTTCCTCATCTAGGGATGAGAGGCGGGAAGGCAGTCATTCCTCGGCCACAAGCGCAGAAGCTGACGGTGGCCTCGTCGCTCGAGATCGCCGTGCTGGAGACTGCAGGGAAGGTGGAGGAGATGGGTGGTGGTCTGGAGCCCCCTCCCTCTGGGGCGGGAGGTGACCCAGGGGCTCCCCAGAGGGAATCCAGAGCACCACAGCGATCTAGAGCCACGGGCAGGCGACCAACGGCCCCCCCCCCCCCAGCTGCAGGCAGCCCAGAACCACCCTCCCGGGTGGGAGGTGGCCTGAAGCACCTGGAGATGATCCAGAACCCTGAGGTGATCTAGAACCCCTGGCCCAGACAGGAGGTGACCCAGACCTTCAGGTGATCTAGAACAAGGCCTCCAGGCAGGTGTGGGGCTAAAGGCTCCCCCCGGGATCTAGACACCCCCCAGGGGCAGGAGGTGATCTAGAACCCCACACAGTGACCCAGTCTCCCAGGGGCTCTGGAACCCAGGACATGCCCCCACCGGTCAGGTGACCTAGAACCCCCCCC